AAATTCCGCTTCACTTCAAAAAAGCGAGCGCTTCGCTTCTCGCTTCTCGCTTTAAGCGAAATGGGGATTGTCGCTTTTTCTCGCTTCACGCTCTTCACAACACTGAGATAGACAGAAAACATCAACCACCATAATCAGGTCTCAATTCTTTGTGATACCCAATCTCTTGCATTCCATGACAAAGAATGGCATGTTCCTTGAATTCCCAATCCAGTTGCCTCTTTGAGATATTTATAGTGTTACTAAAATCCGTCGCTTCGTCGCTTAAAGCGATGAAGCGATGCAAAGCAGGGGATACTTCATAGGTGAAGCCATGTGTCAATGACTATCAAAGTGATCCAACGGATTGCAGTCAGTTCTTTGAATGTCAATTTTGAGGAGTTGGATTAATATCGGCATTATTCTACGTTGGATGTTGAAATTAGTTATTTTAATTGCAATTTGATTATTACAATACTAAATTTGTATATGTTTGATAACTATTTTTTACAAGAATAAGAACTACTACTATGCCTCAGTCCCAAGTAAGTTGCGTCGGCCATATGAATCCTTATTTCTCCATTTAAGCTTAACTCATGTTTTGATAACTTTTTTATATTTTTTGTAATTGTGCAACTTTAGTTTGAAGAAGCATGTGATTCACTTCCTGACCTTGTCACTTTTTTGTGCTTTTCGTTGTTAAAACCACCGAGTCTGATGGAGGATACTCTTGGTACTGTATAAATTGAAAGACTAAAACCACACATCACCTGTAGTCTGTATATGCTCCTTTTTTTGTACCATTATATGCAACTTTTTTATTGATATAGAAAAATGTTACTTCTGTTCATATCTACCTTTTTGAGTGGAAAACTACAAGTGGTAATAGTTGCTTTATCATGTTGAAGAATTCAACAATAACAACAAACCAAGTATGATCCCACAAGTAGGATTTGGGGAGGGTAGTATTACGTAGCCTACCTTGTGAAGGTAGAGACATTGTTTCCGATAGATCTTCAGCTCAGGAAAAGCATAGTCACAACATTATAGAAAAGAAATACAGTAGTGGAGAAACTATTGAAAAAGAAGCAGTAACACGAAGCAGTACCCACAATAGCAAAATAATAAGAAAGCTGAAGCAAAAGAAACAACCGGTAGTAATAAAGATCTAAGTATAAAAAAGTAAGAGAATACTATTGATACTGCAAGTAAGAAAAGGATAAACGCGCGACTACGTACTACCCTTCTATTTTAGTTCTCGACCTCCACACCTTGCTATCGTGGGTCGTGTCCTCGGTAAACTGCAGATGCGCCATGTCATGTCTTTATCACCTCTCCCCGATATTTTTTTGGCCTTCCTCTACCTTTCCTCAGACCCACCATGGCTAACCTCTCACGCCTTCTCACTGGGTATCTTGACATCTCCTCTTTACATACCCGAGCCATCTCCACCTTGCTTCCCGCATTTTGTCCACCACGGTGGCCACTCCCACCTTGTCCTGAATGTCTTCATTCCCATCTTATCTATCCTAGTATGCCCACATATCCATCTCAGCATCCTCATTTTCATTACTTTCAACTTCTGGATATGCAAGCGCTTGACTGGCCAACACTCCGCCTAACAACCACTCTATAGAACTTACTTTTAAGTACTGGTAGTACATTCTTATCACACAAGACTCTGGATGTGAGCCTTCATTTCATCCACCCCGCCCTAATGCGATGGGTGACATCATCATCAATCTCCCTATTACCTTGGATTATCGACACAAAATACTTGAAACTTCCTCTCCTCGGGATGACTTGTGTATCAAGCCTCACTTTCACGTCCGCTTCATAAGGTACGTCACTGAACTTGCACTACGGGTATTCAGTTTTAGTGTTGCTCAACCTGAAACCCTCAGACTTCATGGTCTGTCTCCAAACTTGTCTCCAAACCTCCAGTGATATAAATGACATCTGTTTGCTGAAGTGCACTAAGGCCTCATTTGTTTTATTATAGATTAAGACGTCTGAATCTGAATACATATCTGAATATCAAAAAGTGTATTGAGATTAAGATATCTGAATCTGAATACACATCCGAATATTAAGATGTGTATGAAGATCTGAATACTAAATAATTAAGATTGTTTGATTTTTAACATCTGAATGTATAAAATTTATCTTTATTTAAAAGTTAATAAACATAAAATTCAAATGAAATACTAGTTAATATAATATTATATTAATAAAATCTATAGTGTTCTAAAATATGATAGTTGCTGGTGGTGATAGCTAACGATAGTGCTTGTGAATGCCGACTAGAGACGGTGGTTGGTGATAATTTTGGTTGACGGTGGTGGTTCAGGGTAGTAGCTAGTGGTGATTTGTAGTGGTGGCTATTATTATTGAGGATGGTGGTGATGGGTGGTGATAATTAATAATGACGGGTGGTGGTAGTTGTGATTGAGGAAGGTGGTGGTGGGTGGTGGTAGTTTATAATGATGGGCAGTGCCAGCTATAATTGTTGATGGTGATAAGGTGGATAGTTGTGGTAGTTGAGGTAGAAGAGTATTGGTTGTGGTTGGGAATGATGGTGGTGGGAGTAGATAATGGTGGCGGCTATGATTGAGGATGATGGTGGTGGTGGTGGTTGAGTATGGTTGTGGTGGGTTGTATGGTGGTAGTTGATAGGCGGTGGCGGCAGTTAATAGTGAATATGTATGATAGCATCTTAATGAAATTAAGTCTCCGTTATATGGTAGGCAGTGACGGCAGTTAATAATGAATATGGATGATAGCATCTTAATGAAATAAGTCTTTGTTATAAATCTTAATCATATAGACCCATTAAGTGGTTGTGAAGTTAAAAAAACAAACACACTTAATTATTAAGATCCGAATAATTAAGATTCAAACTTTAAAAACAAACGCACTTAATGTCTGAGAGCTGAATGATTAAGATTAAGACCTCTATTAAGTGCAAACAAATGAGGCCAAGTGATATCAGTTTAGTATGTGTGCTAATACGTGGTTATCTCAATGCAGAACTGTTCAGCTTTATCAACACAGATAGAACACCTTGCTATTATATTTTACCATTAATGTAATCTCAAAAGAAGTGCATGGTTTACATTTCACCTCTAAAATCTAAGTTGTACTTCCATCATTAACGTTCCAGGAGCATTGTTCAGTGTGTCTATTTGTTTGCTTTGTACTCTTTGTGTTCTGTTATTTTCTCTGTAACCTGTTCTGTCAACCAGCACAAGCACCACTGATGTTCATATTTGTGCATCCAATATTGATAAATATAATGAAGTTGAATTTTAGCATATGATGTAGAAGATCTATGACTTTTTAGTGATTTTATACTGTTATTGTGGCAGGTAAAATTAGATACTTGTGTGTATTGACCCCCTAAGTTTGAGCTTGTCAATCCTGAAAGTTTGAGCTTGTCAATCCTGAATGAAGAAGTTACAAAAGAACCTCTCTCGTTTTTCTCTAAAATCACAGTTTGTTTGTCTAAGCATCAAGTTACCTGTCTTATTACTTATAAAATTAGTTGCGGAGTTGCCTGGCAGTCTTATTGTCATTCCAGTGTCACAAGCTCTGCGTTTATTCTTTTTATAAGATTGAAGCATATACTAGGAAACCCTCTCCTCTGCACCCGCATCTCTTTTTATAATTGGTAAATAAGAACTCAATGATGAAGAAAGGTATAAAGAAGAGGCATACAGGGGTGGAAAAAAGTTAGAAAGGACATAATCAGAAACCTATAACATCCATAGGACTATGATAATGACAGAAAAAGCTGACAAAAATGTTCGACTTCTACCCAAATTGTATGTGTTTTACAGATACCATCCAACTATCCTTATCAAAAAGATTCCATCCAACTATCATGTCTGGAAAAGGGATATGACATTAGGTTACTAGGAACTTTGCCATTGAGTACAATATGTGATTAGTTGTTTGGATGCTAAAAACACTTTATCGCTCTAAAACTTTGTTGGAACCAGCACCACTTATGGTGCTAAAACTCGGGGGTAATTTTGCTGGTTAGTTTCTGATTTCTTGTTCTTTGTGCAGCCAGTTGGTTTGGGAAAGATTGCAAAGCTGATAAATGCAGGGAAGATTGATTCGTCAGAGTTGATCACAATGAAAACTCTAAAGGTTTTTTCTGATGCAACTATATAGCATGAAACTGCTTAAGCTTTTAGCATTGTTTCATAAAATCAACTTCTTCTGGCAATAGGATTCCGCGGCAATAGGGAAGCAAATAGGAGATGGAGTCAGGCTGATGGGACGTGGAGCTGAACATATTCAATGGCCCATCCATCTAGAGGTAATGTTCAGCAGAGACTTCTACAATATAGCATTTTGATTCTTAGGTTGTTTATAGTTTTTTCTGCTGTTAGTTTACTTTTGTCTTCCCCTGTAAACATTAAATTTATTGTAACACTTGGTATAAAGTTTATTTGATTATAATAACATAATACATGGTTTGCATTTAGATTGCCATATGATTTGGACTTCTACAGCCATTTATTATGACTGCGTCCCAAAGCTTCCATAGGAGCTATACCCTTGCCTTACAGAGATAGTTATGACTTATGAACCAGTTATGAATCGACTAAATCCAGATTCTCCTGGAATGCTAGCTCTGCTATACGTCTTTAGTTTTTTTTTTTTTGGATAAGGGTAATGTATATTGAAATGCGTCAGCAAATGCTGGAAAAGAAATACAAGTAAAAGCTGTAGAACATTACAAAGAATGTAATGCAAAGAGAAAATCAAGCATGGCTTCAGGCTCTAACACATTTGCCATAGCCATGCTGCACCAAAAACTAAGCAAGAATATACAATTCTTTTTTAGCTCAAGTATATTGTCATTCTTGTCTTCAGAAATTCTAGCGTTCCTCTCCTTCCAAATTACCGAGCAGATAGCTGCAGGAATAGTGTTCCACATGGGAAGGGAGGACTTAGCTATTCCTCCTCTCTGCCAAGAAAATCCAGAAGAGAGCTAGGCATGCACAGTTCAAGCTCATGATGGAAAAAACTGACATTGGCTAGAGCCCCTGCAATGTAAGAACAAGTGGTTGATTCCTCTGCATCTTCTTTACAGAGAATGCATCTACTGCAAATGTGTAGGCCTCTCTTTTGAAGGTTGTCAAGAATGAGGCACTTGCCATTAGCCGCTATCCAGATAAAGCATTTGACCTTGTTAGGGAGCTTTGATTATCCAGATAGTTTTCCAATTCCAAGAGATGTTGGAAGGTGAGGGAACAGCGAGTGAGAGGTAACGGCCTTTAACTGAAAAAGATTTCATCAAAAAAAAAAAAAAACAGCCTTTAACTGAAAAAGTTCCCCTGGAGTCAAGATTCCATATGGCATAGTCAGGTGTGGAGATAAAAGGGGGCCTGTTGTTAAGGAGCTGAAGCAACTGAATATAGCTTTTAATTTCGTATTCGTTAATATTCCTTCTAAAGGATCCCTTCAGTTAATATCAATAAGCTTTTTGATTGATTTAGGGCGCCACCCTTGGAGTAAAATCTCAGTCAGTTTGCACTTCCAGAAGGGTACTCTGTATTAGTGCAAATTGATTTCCGGGGGAGAG